GATCATGACCTGAGCAGAAGGCAGACGCTTAACTCACTGAGCCACCCAGGCACCCCTTAAAGATTTAATCTTTTTTTAAATTACTTTTATTTTTTTTAAAGATTTTATTTATTTGAGAGAGAGACAGTGGGAGAGAGCATGAGAGGGGAGAAGGTCAGAGGGAGAAGCAGACTCCCCATGGAGCTGGGAGCCAGATGCAGGACTTGATCCTGGGACTCTAGGATCATAACCTGAGCTGAAGACAGTTGCCCAACCAACTGAGCCACCCAGGCGCCCTTAGTAATCTCTACACCCAATGTGGGGCTCGAACTCACAACCCTAAGATTAAGAGTCACATGCTTCACCAACCAAGCCAGCCAGGCGCCCCTTTAAAGAATTCTGAACGCACGTGGAAATCATAGGAAATGCACTTTTTGCTTCATCTGTATTGGTTGTCTTTTGCTGCATGATACATTATCCCAGAACTTATTGGTTGAAACAACAAAAAGGCTGGGAATCTGGTGTGGGTAAGTCGAGGGTCTTTAGCTCAGGGTCTCTAACAAAGCCTATTAATGTGCTTTGATCAGGACTGCAGCCACTTCAAGCCTTGGCTAGGGGATGAGTCATTTCCAAGCTCACCCACATGGCTGTTGACAGCCATCAGGTCCTACTGCAGTGCTTGTGGACAGCAATTCCTTGCCATGGAAATCTCTCCATAGGGTAGCTCGCCACATGGTGCTAGCTTCTTTCAAACAAGTGAGAGAAGACATTCCAAAATAAAAGCCACAGTCTTTTTATAACTCAATATTGGAAGTGGAAACCTATAATTTTTTCAAATTTTTTGTTGGAAGGAAGCCACTAAGGTCCAGCTCATATTCAGTTGGTAGAAATTTCACTGGGTCTGGCCACCAGGAGAGCAGGATCACATGGGGGGTGTTTTTTTTGTTTTTTTTTAAAGATTTTATTTATTTATCTGAGAGAGAGAGTGACGGACTGCAAGCCAGAGTAGGGGAGGGGGAAGGCAGAGGGAGAGGGAGAAGCAGACTTTCTGCTGAGCAATGAGCACGAAGCAGGGCTTGATCTCAGGACACCAAGATCATGACCTGAGCTAAAGGCAGAGGCACCAGGTGCCCCCCGACATGGGTGGGTGGTCTTACTGGCTGCCTACCACACCATTTTTTTTAAAGATTTTATTTATTTATTTGACAGAGAGAGACACTGAGAAAGGGAACACAAGCAGGGGGAGTGGGAGAGGGAGAAGCAGGCTTCCCCGCAGAGCAGGGAGCCCGACGCGGGGCTGGATCCCAGGACCCTGGGATCATGACCTAAGCCCAAGGCAGATGCTTAACGACTGAGCCACCCAGTTGCCCCAGATTTATTTATTTTAAAGAAAAAGAGAGCTCGAAAACATGTGTGTTTGAGTTGGGGAGAGGGGCAGAGGGAGATAGAGAATCTCGAGCAACTCCCCACTGAGCACAGAATCTGATGCAGGGCTCAATCCCAGGACCCTGAGATCATGACCTGAGCTGAAATCAAGAGCTGGGCGCTTAACCGACTGAGCCACCCAGGCGCCCCACACACCATTTTGTCTTAAGGTAGATCATCCTGACGTTTACATTGAAAGCTAGAACATGCTGATGTCACAGTTGCTGTTACATAGCTACATTTTCAGATGTCTGGAATGGAGGTGAAGGGTTTGCAATAAAACATATTTCTTGGTTTTGGGTGGCGATCTTCCTTGGACAAAGAAAAAAAAAGGGTGTGTGTACAGAATGGACTCCATTCTGTAGAGGTTCTTTTGGTTTCCATTTTAATATAAACGCAGAAATTTTAATGAGAAACCCTCAAACATTCCAGGTGTAGATGTAAAATGGCAGTCACTTTAGAAAAAAGTATTTTCTTTAAAAAAAAATTATTTATTCACGTGAGAGAGAGAGAGCGAGAGGGCACAAGCAGCAGGAGAGGCAGAGGGAGTGGGAGAAGCAGGCTTCCCCCTGAGCTGGAAGCACGTCATGGGGCTCTGTCCCAGGACCTGGCGATCATGACCTGAGCCAAGGGCAGACGCTTAACCATCTGAGCCACACAGGTGCCCTGATAGTATCTTTTAAAAAGTTAAATATAAATTTACCGTACCAGCCCAACATTCCATTACTAGGCCTCGGCTCAAGAGAAATATATCCATATGAAGACATACATGTACAAAAATGTTCATAGCAGCATTATCCATAATAGCCTCGAACTTGAAACAATCTAAAAGCCCACCAACTGGTGAGTAGATACACAAAATGTGATACATCCATACAATGGTATACTACTCCATGATAATAAGTACTACTACTCCATGATAATAAGTAATGATACATGCTAGGACATGGATAAACCTCCAAAACATTAACATATGCTAAATGAAAAAAGGCAATCATTGCCTATTGTTAGATTCCATTTATATGAAATGTCTACAATTGATAAATCCATGGAAAATATATTAGTGTTTGCTGGGGCTGAGAATGGGAACCAGGAGTAACTACTAATGGGTATAAGGATCTTTTTGGGGTGATTGAAATGTCCTGAAATTAATGGCGATCGTTACATAATTATGTATTTACTGAGAATCATTAATTGTATACAGAATTGGCAAATTTTATAATATGTAAATTATACTTCAATAAATTATTAAATATATATATGTTTTTAAAGATTTTTATTTATTTATTTGACAGAGAGGGAGACTGTGAGAGAGGGAATACAAGCAGGAAGAGTGGGAGAGGGAGAAGCAGGCTTCCTGCTGAGCAGGGAGCCTGATGTGGGGCTCCATCCCAGAACCCTGGGATCATGACCCAAGCTGAAGGCGGATGCTTAATGACCGAGCCACCCAGGTGCCCCTAATTATTAAATATATTTAAAATGATAGTGGGTAAAAACTTTCTCATCCTAAATGAAATTAAGTTCAGCTGTCAGCTTCAGGTTTTCTTACTCAACGTCTCTTTTACCTCCCACCTACCTGCAGTTTGGTCCTAAGATTGAATCCTGGGATCATGTTTCCAGATATGGTTAACGATCAAATCATTAAACCAGAGAAAGTTGATGTATTTTTATTATGGTCCTTTAAAAATTTTTTTTAAAAAAGATTTTATTTATTTGAGAGGGAGAGAGTGAGAGGGCAGAGGAGCAGGGTAGAGGGAAAGCATTCTCACTCCTGGCTGAGCAGGAAGCCTCTTGTGGGGCTCAATCCCACCACCCTAAGATCAGGACCTGAGCTGAACGCAGAGGCTTAATCGACTGAACCACCCAGGCACCCCTCTTTTCTGGTTTTTTAATCTGTTTCCTTTGGGTTAATTTTTAAAGGATTTTGCAACTGTTGGTTTAAAATAATACTTTTCTTTTTTATTCTCAACCTTTTTACCTCAGTTGGGAGATAAAGCTGACTTCCTATTTTTCAAGTATTTGCAGAATTAATGTTAATTTTTGCCTGGACTATCTAGGAGATTAATTTCAATTTGGCTCCTGGAGACTTGTGGTTTAATCATTCTCCAAGGTGTTTTTTGTTTTGTTTTGTTTTGTTTTAATGTCTTTATCTGACAATTCTGGTCAGACTCCTTAACTAATTTTACTTAAAAAACAAAATCAAAAACCAAAAAACAAAAACCTCGATTCTTCACTCAAAAAAAAAAAAAAAATCTATTAGCTTCCAGTTTAATTGCCACGCATTTAAAAAACGGACTACTGTGCCGGCTAGCAATCTAAGTTAAAGTAAAACTTCTAAAGGGGCCAAGGTCTAAAGTTCACACATTCTTGTGAGGTCTGTTCTGTCTCCACCAAGGGAGACCCCATTATCCATAGCTCTACCAATCACGTACATTTCCTTTTGAGTCTCATGAATGAGGAAAAAAGAAGTTCAAGTGAGGGAAAATGGGTTCAAATGAAGGTCAAATACCCAAAAGAGTTTTCTGGCTCCTGTGTGCTGCTGGGGTGGAAAAAAGTGGGGAAAAGGTAACCAGATGTAGGTGGCCCGGAGAGGTTGCTCGACTCCAACCTCGTTGTTAGTCTTGGCAAGGGAAAAAAGGGTCTGCCTTTTAGACATCCAGTGACGCGATGAGAACCTACTGTGTGCCAGGTGGTGGGGATACAAAGACAACTATGGGATGCCTGTGTTCTAGATGCTTCTTACGTAGCAAGACAGAGTCTCCGCCCTGAAGGGACTCGCAGTCCACGTTCGAGGTTGCATCAGGTGGGGGTAAACACGGACTCTCCCAGCACTCTGAGGTCGCCGAAGGATTACTGGAGGGCGGGGAAGAAACGCTTCCCTCCCGTCCTCCAGACTAGGCCGGCCCTGAGGGCGAAGACAGACACGCCCTCCCGAAGGGCAGACCCGCCTCGAGGAGGGCGGATCCGGGCAGGGCCGCCGGCCGGGCCCTCACCCGACCCCCGCGAACGCAGCCCAGCGCGGCGCCCGCTCCTCACGTGTCCCTCCCGGCCCCCGGGTCGTCTCACGTTCTGCTTCCGTCCGACCCTTCCGACTTCCGGTAAAGAGTCCCCGTTCCGCACCACCGCGCCCACCCAGCTTCGCCACGCGGCGCCTCTGTGTGCCCGACCCCCGATGCGCTCGGCGGCCGCAGCTCCTCGGGGCCCCGCGGCGGCCATCGAACCACGCCGCTTCGCCGCGGCCAGGTGGCCCGGGCGGCGCTCGCTCCCGCGGCCGGCGCGGCGGGGCGGGCGGGGCGGCGGCGGCGGCGCGGCTCCGGGCCCGTATCCCTCCGCCGCCCCTCCCCCGCCCGGCCCCGGCCCCCCTCCCTCCGGGCAGCGCTCGCCTCCCTCCGCCTCAGACTGTTTTGGTAGCAACGGCAACGGCGGCGGCGCGTCCCTGCCCGGCTCCCGGCGGCTCTTCGGTTTCGGCGGGCCTCCCCGCCCCTTCGTCGTCCTCCTTCTCCCCCTAGCCGGCCCGGGCGCCCCCCCGGCCGCGCCATCCCGCGCCTCCCCGCTCGGCGCCCGTGCGTCCCCACCGCGCTCCAGCGTCTCCTCGGCGCGCCCGGCTCCCGGCTGTCCCCGCCCGGCGTGCGGGCCGGTGTATGGGCCCCTCACCATGTCGCTGAAGCCCCAGCAACAACAACAACAGCAGCAGCAGCAGCAGCCGCAGCAGCAGCAGCAGCCGCAGCAGCCGCCGCCGCCCGCGGCCGCCAATGCCCGTAAGCCCGGCGGCAGCGGCGGCCTTCTCACGTCGCCCGCCGCCGCGCCGTCGCCGTCCTCAGTCTCGTCGTCCTCGGCGGTGGCTTCCTCCTCGGCGGCGGCGAGCGCAGGCGGCGGGCGGCCCGGCCTGGGCAGGTGGGTGTCGCGCCCCAGCCTCTTCCATTCCGGGCCTGGACGAGCTCAGGCCTCCTGTCCCCTCCCCCGCGGCCCACACCGTCGTCCCCGCCCTGTGACCGGCCAGGCTTGGTGGGGTGGGCTGGGGGCCCGCAGTGGGGGTGGGGCTCCCGCTCCCCCCTGGAGCCCCGGGGTTTGGATGGGGGGCGCTGCGGGGTCCCTCCGGGAATGTCAGGTCGTGTCCAGCCTCCTGCAACATCCCCACCCCCTCCCCCAAACGGTCAAGATGGAAGGACTGGGCAGCCTCCCCCTCTCCATTTAAGTGTTCGGGAGGGATTTACAGGTCTCACTAATTGTCAGCCCCTGTTCCTCCTTTAGCCCCAACGTGGAGGGGATGCTTGGGCAGCGCCCCCCCCCCCCCCCCCCCCCCCCCCGCGTTTAAATATTAACGTGGAATGGTCTTTAGGTTTTGGTTCAGTCTCCCGAAACTTGCCAACTCCCCCTTTGGGGAATAACAAGGGAGGGGGAAAGTTAGGGCAGCGTCCCCCCCTGTCCGTTAAAGGGGCAGCCACGGGGCTCATCTGGAATCGTTAGGGTTTGTCTGGTGTGCGTAACCACCCCACTCCCCTGCCCTGGGAAAGCTCGAAGAACCGGATTGAGGTGGGTGGGTAGTGGTCTCCGCTCCCCTCCCCATTTAAATCTGAGGTAGCGGCGGGGGCTCCAGAACTCCAGGAATCGTGGGGCTCTGTGCAGTCTTCTGCAGCGTTCCGCCCTCCCCCACTTGAGGAAGGGGTGGGGAGTGCCCGGCCCCCTCCCGGCCTCCCTCCTTCCCCCGCAAGGCCTCTCCGCCGCGGGTGGTGGCCGATCCGCAATGCTGTTCCGAGGCCGAGAAGGCGCTTTTGAATAGTGGTGGGCGAGGGCCGGACCCAGGCGTGCGTCAGAAGTCCAGGCCAGATCGGGGACAGAGGGGGATGGTGGTGGCAAGGAGCGGGCACGCTGCGCATTTTCCCCAACCCCGGTCCCAATTCATAGAATTTCGAGGGGAGAGGGATTGCAGCAGGAGACCTGGTGGGGTTCCTGAAAGCAGAAATGCGGGTGTTTACTTGCGTCGTCGTCTCCTCTTTCCCCATAAACCTAGGCTTGTGGTAGGGACTGGGGGCCGTGTGCTGTCTCTCTAACCGGGTCTGACTTGGGAGGGTGTGTTTGTGCGGGAAGGCCTGTTGGGGAGGGTGTGTATGTGTGGAGGGGGTTGACAGTTCGTATTTCACGAACTAAGAAAATGCTTAGTGTTCAAACGGGGCAGCAAATGTCAATAGACTCCATTCCATTGTGGCCAGTGTCCTTAACTTGGGAAGTGCCGCCAGAGCTCACCAAGGGCACGCAAGTCTATTTCCCCTGTACCCCGAGCCCATCCGTGTTCGGCACTGCCTTGCCTCCCTTAGACCTAGGCGGGTTGGTAGTCAGTGACGAGGGTCCTCCGGAAATAGACATCCTGGGCTTGAGAAGGTGGGATAGGGGATTTTTTTTTTTTTCCCCACGCACTGAGTTTTCTTTTTGAAAACAGGTTTTCAGCGATCCATTTCCAAAGAATTTTCATTTATGGCCCGAGAAGTTACCCTTCAAGATGAATCAGGGCTGATTTTTAAGGAATCCTGCTTTCAAGGGGGGAAGGGCCAACATTGTGTTTTTGTTTTTGTTTACTTCTACCCTACCTCCCCTTCACAGTTGTCCTTTCTCTGAACCACCCTCAAACGTTAACCTTACCCTAACTAGTTCAGGTAAAGTGCTTATTTTCCCAGCTCTTTCCACTTAGTTTCTGTAACTTAGATTCTGTAACTTCAGTTTCCCTTTTTCAGTGGCATCCACAGTGAAAAATGGACAAATTTTGTACCTATTTTTTTTTACAGAAAAGGACCCACGGTATTTTTCTTCTTAGGTATCATAGAGATTTGGCAGACATATTTTACTTGTTCATATAATTACAAATTAAAACTTAGGCTTTTAGGTTGCGACCGCTCTCTTTAGGCTTAAAATTTATAATCTGTTGCAGAGTGGCTTGAATGATCAAAAATATTTGGAATGTTTTAGTACCAAAGAGCCTTTTCTGTTCTTTGAGGCTTTACATTTAAGATTAATTTAAATTATTCTTTGCTTTAAGTTCTTTCATTTGAGACATGAATTCTCGCCCTTGTTCTTTTTGATAGATATGTGAAGTTCTGTTTATTGGATTCATATAATGTGTACTTTAATTACATAGATCTCACGTAGAGTTTCTTTGGATTTTGATCCACTGCTGCTAGGTTCTTTGTAAACTGGTTACAGTTTTTAAGGTCTCCTTACACATGTTTGTGTGTATCAGCAGTTAAAATATGTCCCTGAGGCCAGGGGTAAAGAAAGAAAAGTGCAGCATTGGGTTTGACGTGTTTAGAGATAGTAAATATTCTTGAAAGTCAAGAAATTCACATGTCTTCTTTAAATAACATTTCATTATATTTGACTTTTTTAAAAATAGTGTTTTTTTATGGTTTTCAAAAATTTATTCTGCCTTAAATTATCATATATGTTTTAGAAGGTTACCGTTTTCTCTTAGAACAACATACCCCTAATACTAAAGTCTGTTAATCAAAATCTTGTTTTCGGTTTTTACCTTTTCATTTTTATGTAGTTTTAATGATTGTGCATGTTATTTTGTGGTTTATTTATTTATTTATTTATTTTTCTGTTTAGCCTTGTAATATAAATTTTCTTTAGGTTTTTGGTTAACCATTCAACTGTTGGGATTTGGGTGTCCACATCTTTATTATTATAGTTAGTGGTACACTAAACATCTTTATACTAATAGCTTTTGGCTTTAGTCTAATTATTGCCTTAGAGAAAGTTCCCAGGAGTGGTTTTACTGGGTCAAAGGGCTTCAAGGTTTTTATGGCTCTTGCTAGCTGTGCCATATTACTCTTGAGAAGACTTGTGTTAGTTTCCATTGCCAGGAAGGTGGCTCTTCTATAGAATGGTTTCTTTGTCAGACACTGTGGGGGATTTTCAAGGGAAAAGTTGCATTTACTGTCAAGTGAATACATTATTAAGTACTTTTGTTAGCTACCTGATTATTTATACTTGAGTTTGAATTTGGTTTCACTGAGGACTTAATGAAATAATATAAAGGAAGATGCTTTGAAAACAGTAACTGTTAACACTAATGAGGATACATGGTTTAACTATTGTGCTCATACTTCTCTAAGTAGAGGAATGAAAGTCCTGAGAAACTTGTTCTGAAGCTTTTGTTGTTGTTAATCTTCCTCATTCATCTAAAAGTATTTTTTATTAGCTGTTAGCCTTGTGACCAAGTCACTTTTGTTGACTTTTATATAATTTCATGGCACTGTTGGGAATTATCACTGGCTAACCTATATCTCTTCCTCTCCCACAATCCCTTTGCTATTTAAAAAAATAATGGGTTTACCCATTCTGTTACCCATTCCTAAACCTAGATAATACAACATTAGAATATCTTTGGATACAGGATTAAATGTGAGTAAAAACTTACTTTAGTCATTTTCAGCTTAGTACTTTCACTGCTTCTTTCTTTTAAGGCATTGCAACTTCGAAATTATGCTGCAATTTAATGTAAGTTTTCATTTAAGAATCTGTGAGACATTCGTCTCTTTAAATATATTCTAGAAGAGCTTGAAACATCGACACCATTGAACATAGAAATTTATTGAAAATCCATGTACAGGCAGTTACAAGTGTTTGGGATATACCAATGAATAAAAAAAAGATAGATGCTCTCCTCGTGTTTCCATTCTAACATGATGAGTCAGACATTAATTGAGACATTAAATTAGCAAACTATGTATAATATTAGGTAAGAGCTATGGGTTTAGGGGAGAGCAGATTAAGGATATAATATGAGAGTGTGAGGGAAGGGAGTGGGTTGCACTTTTAAGTGGATTGGGGAGGCTTCTTTGAGGAGGTAGCATTAGAGCAGAGTTTTGATGGTGAGGTAGTTAGCCATTTGCTTTAACTCTAGACTAGTCAGTCATATGGTCCCATTTGTAGCTTAGAAGGTTTAAACTGTATCATCCTTTGTTAACTTATTCTTTTATGTGGGTATTGATTATAACCACATTTGCAGTTGAACCAGAAAAGTTAATTGACAATCGAAGTCATCAGAAGTAAGCTGTAGATGGCTATTAAAAGCTGTACATTTTTGTTTTTCTAATGGACTTATGTATTTTAATCTAATTGACTTAATTTTCATCCTAAGTACCTAGAGAAAATAGACTTTTTTGGATTGGGCAAAAACCTATATCAGATCTTTGTCAGAAAAAGTAATCCTATAGTTGCTTAAAGATTTTGCATTTTGGTATATGTGCTGCCAAAGCGAGCACAAGATTTTTGCATTTTGAAAAGTCAAAACATCAATGGTGTCAGTTATGGTGTCCCTTTTTTGGTTAAATGTTAAGTTTGTATTTTCCGTGTCTAATTAGACAGTTATAATTTTGCAGATTTTACACGAGGGATGTTAACTCATATCATAGCTATTTAATAGCCATATGTTTCGACTTAAAGGAGGATCTAATTTTTTTTATTCTGTGTAGCTACAGCTGGGTTAGAATTTATTTTCACTGTGGCAAAGTGTGTTTTTATACCTTGAAAGGGATTTTAAGTCTCTATAAGATTTTTTTCCTGGAGTTGTAGTTTTCCGTTTTGGATAGATAGTAGCGTTTTGATAGGTAAAGATTTGAGCCTGAACAAAACCCTGTTTTTGTAGCTATTTCAAATGATTGTAGTAACTTCAGCTGCAATATAGTTGATTAACAGGCCTGCCTGCTACTGTATCTTTTTAAGTGAAAGTACTTGTTTTTGTTTTTTTTGTTGTTTTTGAAGCACATCTGGGTCATTTATGACTGTTACCATACCGTGATTTTAAGAGGTCAGTACAGTGGTCTTTTTCATATTTTAGCAAGAATGTTACTAAAATAAAAGTAGGGTGCTCTTTCCTCTTGAGTCTTTTTTGCCTG